GCCAGTCTAGGTGGTCTATGGCTACTACATTTAAAAATTGAAAAAATGTTTTTTATTAGATTTTATTAATTTGCGTCGGTTTTTTTGTCGGACAAGTATTGTTTTTTAATTATTATTTTATTCTAAAGCCAAAAATATAAAATTTATCACTTTTGTAATCGGAAAACCTAACCTGCGATGAGCGACATGTTTCGGTTGTCGGACTGGAAAAAAGCGCCTGAAAATTTGTCGGACAAGGTATGGACTACGTTTTTTAGGCAATTTTTAGTAAGTTAAAATGAAAATTGGGTGTTTTGTAATCGGAAAACCATACCGCGCTAAAGCGACATGTTGGAGTTGTCGGACTCGACAATTGCACCCTCTATTTTGTCGGACAACCCAATTTACTTCTTATTTAACACATTTTCTTTTAATTCAAATAAAAAATTTGAGTGTTGTAATCACAAAAGAGAACCCGCCCAGAACGACAGGTTTAAGTACTCGCAGTGCGGAAAAGTGCCTTTCCCATATTCTAAAAATTTTACAGCGTTGTAGACTCGTTAAAACGAAGCGATCCAGATCGTTTTCATGATTTTTGAAATCAGTTCGAAAAAAGGTCGCCAGCTTGGGGACTATACATATAACGAATTTCTTATGCTGAACAAAAAATTTTAAAAGCGTTTTTTAGGAAACCACTGTTTTTTAACTTTTCCGAAACGTAATTCAAAAAGTTTTCAACTAATCGACAGAGCACAGAGCTTCACAATATCATAATTCAGGGTACATCGTAGGGGTTTTTTGATTGATTAATAATTTTCATTTATATTAACTTAATGCAAAATTGATCATGTTTTTTCGATACTCTTTTTGAATGTTCACTTAATCAACAATTATTAATATTTTCAATTTCCCTACGGTGTCCCCTAACTTTTAGTACATACAAATCTGAAAATTCTTTGTTTTTTTTGTTTCAAGACCATCTAAGAATCCTTTCTGCCTATACAACCTTCTGAAAAAAAGGTACGTACAGCTACCATTTTGAATCCAAATTGTTTGAAAAAATTCACGGACACTAAATGAAAACATGTACAATAAAGTCGTTTCGTTCCTGACACTATATCTTGTACCGATTTTACCTTGAAAATTCCCGAAAACTACCTTTTTTCCCAACCTCTAGAGTGGCGTTACTCCTTAATAATTAACTTCACTCGCCCAAATCTAATAATACTTGTGATTAACCCATATTATCCCGTAACCTCTTGAATGCCTTGATCTGTTGAGAGAAGTGCACTTCTCGCAGGCTCGATCCCTTTTTGGGCTAGCGTATATATACGTCATATTCAGTTTACAATAGAATTACGGTCAAATTATTTAGAAGTGTATTATATCCATCATAATCACTATTTATTGACTTTGCTCATGACAATTATATACGTCATAAGCATTCAAGAGGTTAGTTACAGACTATTTTTGATCTTAGGGAGTAGCACTTTCTTCCTCCGCTGGATATTTTTTCAGTTCACNATATGGGGGGTGGCTTCCGATGACGGGGAAGCATTGTTTTCGTTTACAGAAGTCAGAATTTAGTTGGTAAAATCATTTTAAGTATGATTAAACGTGATATTTGAGGTTTTCATTTTTGTTCAAACTAATGTTCGGAACTTCAGGTACATAAAAATTGTAGATGTTATGCAAAGATATTTAGACAACAATAGTTTTTTGATCTATGGAAAAATCAAAAAACAAATATTTTATAATAAGTTTCAATGCCTTAAAATAAATTATCATACCTGTGTTCCTATAGACCAGTAAAACCACCCAACATAACTTGGGTGTCTGAATAAACTGTACACTCCATGTGTTACTAATACATGGTCTTTGGATTTCTCAGACTGGACCTTGAAAAAAGATAAAATATTTCCTACCTAAAGTAGTAGCAAAATTATTTTTGCAAAGAAATGTCACAAACATTCAAAATATCAACGGTCTAATAAAGTTAAATTTTACTTGGATATATTTAAATTCATTTCTAAAAAAGCTACATAATTTTAAAGAATAATTATGTTTGAATAATAATTATTTAGATAAAGTAAAATTCTCTAGATAAATTCCAAAGCTAACTGAAACTAAATAATATATATTTTGATAAATAATCACATATTAAATATAATTAGATAATATTGCTCTACGATAACATTACCCTATAAATAGTAGATTAAAAATCTCATATCATGAATCATGAATACTGTTTAAAAATTTAAATTTTCTTTTCATCACTACACCAATTTCTTTTGCAATTTACTTTTCAGCAATATGACTGTTTATGTTTTGTTTTATGATTTACTTACCAAATGATGAAAACTTGAACCAGCAGTAAACATAGACAGTTTTCTTAGAACCTCACCTCCAATACAGGCAAGCAAACCAATATTTGAAAGCCAATAAACTTGTTTCATACCTAAAATATTACGTGAAAAATCTCAAAGAAATTATTACATGAATTACTTGCCTGGAAAGAGGTAACTCTCAACAAAAAATTCTAACCATGAGGTAATGGCAGCGACAGTATACTGAGGGCTGTGATTTATAACAAAAGAGTCGGTGGACACTTGTTTCGGTTGTATAATTGCTATTGCAATAAATTCGCTGAAGTGGAAGAATGCCATAACACACATATAAACACCAAATATTCTTATATGTGCAAGAGCAACTAATCTAACATAAATGCCCAAGGCGAATATTATGCCCAAACAGGAGGCCCGAACAGCGATCTTAAAAAAATAGAAATTATTCATTTCCTTATATTGAGAATAAATAATAATTATTACTATTATTACAAAATTTTTATATGCATTACCAACCTGAAAACTATTGCCTTTAAACAAAAATTTTAAAAGGATACACATCAGTATAGTGAAAGTAGAAAATATAAAAGCATTAACCGAGAATGCAGTAATATTGGAATAAACATTTGTCATGCCTATTAGCAAAAAAATTGATAATGAAATGAAAAAACTTTTTAAAGCAAGTTTGGCCTCTACACTGGGCATTTTGACACAAATTTATATTTATATCAGTATCCGTATAATAACTTTACATCACAATACCCAAAGTCTTATCATTCATTTCTCAAACATATCTTACTCAACATCAGCTGTTTACTGACAAGTGACTAGTGACAACCATAGAAAAAATAATATGTGACAACCATACTGACAACTGACAACTGACACTGACTGATAACAACAGCTGGAAACGGAAATATATAAACAAACAGGCGTGTTCGTTATTTTTGAATAGTCACATTCACATGGACCCCAGACTTACTTTTGGGTTTGCTGGTTGGAGCACTCCAGAGCAATGCTCTAGTGCTCATTTATTTTTATACATTTCAGTGTACGGGAGTGTAATACATCGGAGTGCCCTATTTTTCTTCCCCCTGACCCATGAGACACCAGACGATTTTATGGTTTTTGAGATTCCCAGCTTGCACATCTGGAGACTCTCCCTGGGTCAAAACATCGTGAAGAAGAAGAGGATGCTCTGACACCTTCGCGAGGACATAACCGAACGCTATTCAGATTGCTCTGATGTCTGATGTCTCCAGATTAATAAACGAACGTATTTAGTAGTGATGGGAATAATCGACCAATTTTGTTAATCGAGTTATCGGTAATCGAGTACTTCTAATAATCGAGTGATCACTCGAGATACGAGATATTGGTCGTTTTCATCCCAGCGGCGCACAAATATGTTTGTATTAGTCATATATTACTTATAAGCGTAGCTAAAAAAAAAAAAC